AGATTACCCTTTAATATTTCTCTACCTCCTCGATCTGTATTTACCAAATTTTAATAACATAAGTACCCCTTACACAAAAGCTATCGTGCCAAATTTTGTTTGTTCATTATTACGCTATCCTGAGTTATTAAGCTGAAGAATAAAACGACACATACACAAATAAACAAACAGATAACAACGGAAATATTTCTATTTTTTATCTGCATGTTCAGGACTTCTCAAAACGTAGATATTTGAAAAAAACTCGCAGAGTACCACGATTCTAATATTTTCTTTTGTATTTATAATAGAAAATAGAGAAAATATAGCTGAAAAAGTATTCTATTTGATGAAAATACCAATTACCTAAAAACTATGTAATAACGAACACAGCTTTAAGAACTATATTTATGTATATTTATTAATTAGAATTGAGGTCGATTAGAGGCCCCGTGTAGTGTTGACTTCAAACATTTTTTTTCCGGAATCTTTTTCGGAAAAATGTTTACTTATGAAAAATTAGTATGAGGTCCCCGTTTTGCATATGAATTAACCAATTTTAGGAATTATATACTATATAGGAATTACTGTTCCTATATAGTATATAATTCCTATATAATATAATATCCTATATAGGAATTTTTGTTCGATATTTTAAAAGAGCTTTTTAAAATATCGAACAGAAAAGTTATAATAATATTAGTCTACAGTATACGAAATTTAATTTTTTATTTCACAAGTACTCTGTTAATTGAAAAAAATTACATTAGTGTATTTTATTGTTTTCAGATGTACGATAATTTCGTAAGTATAGAAAAGGTTTCTTCTGCAAATCTCCCACTGACATTCAAATTCAAGGTATGTAAGTAAATAACTTCATCANGTATACACGAAATTTAATTTTATATTTGACAAGTACTTTGTTGATTGAAAAAAATTACATTAGTGTGTTTTATTGTTTTCAGATGTACGATAATTTCGTAAGTATAGAAAAGGTTTCTTCTGCAAATCTCCCACTGACATTCAAACTCAAGGTATGTAAGTAAATAACTTCTTCACAAATCATAAGTGAGTAATGTTGCACAATTGGTTCAGTATTTACGTTGTTTGTTTTGTTTTCTGAGAAATTTGGAAAGCGTAATTGATGCTTCTACAAATAGGTTTATTAGTCATGGACAAAAAAGTTAAACTGCTTTCAGGCCGCACGATAATCACAACTTATAATTTGAAACCTTAATTTTAAGTTAATAATGACATTTATTTTTATTTTTTATTTCGAATATTATTACTTATTATTTTAACTATCAAATGCATGTACTGTACACAATAAAAAGTCATTTTCTCTCTCATAAAATTTTTTATTTTATTAATTAAAATTGTATATTTGACACGTTATTGTATTTTATTTATTCCAATGATAAAGTGAGAATGAAAGGTAGACCTCACACTACACACGTAGACGAAAGAAACTAATCACTAAAGTAGTTTTATTGTGTTTAATTAATATTTTCCAATTTTATTTAATTTGCAAATTATTCACTAATTTTATAAATTTCCTGTTTTAAAGATAAACGATTTTATGAAGAGATTTGGAAAGATTCCTCTCGGAATATCTATTGGCGGATTCTTCTACATTAAACGGGACTTCTTGATAAGGGTATGTTCTGGATTATTTTAAGTATGTATAAATACAGCATCATTGGTTTAATACGTAAAATACCGCTATTTGCAGGTGATAAATGCCATCTATTCGATCTTCTCTTCGTGCATTCAAGTCAGTGGAATTTTGAAAACGGAATCGAAGTGTACGGTCAAACAGGAAAACGATACACATCTTGTTTAAGTGTACTTTGTATGCCAATATGATTAATCAAATGATACAAAACCTAACTTTGAAACATTTACAACGTTATTACTTTAACAAATTTTGTTGTTATGAACTATTATATGTTCGCAGAATGGTCTTTGCATAGTGTAAAACAAGCGGCTGTTTATGAAATACTAGTACTTTGTATATCGTGCAACGTGACAGGTGTTATGATATTTATAGCTGCGTGCCTAGCAGCTATTACGAGTAAATCTGCCAAAAAATGTACTGTTCCTCTGTGAACGACTGCTTTGACATGTTGCTGTAAGAAGTCGACAGGATTTAGATCGGATAATCTAGAAAGCCATGTGACTAAAAAACCATTAGAGATGCCTATGGGATATTTTCTTTGGTGCTTTTAGAGCTAAAATTGCTATTAACAGAAAGTGTCGTCATAAAACTTTCGATGAGAATATCGGTGGAATGCCGCATCCAATCGAAAAACGGATAACATTAAAACTTCAAATTGGTTTTCGACAAGAATTCACGAAATATAGTTATTATATAGTATGTATATATATATACTTCATTTGTAGA